GGCTGAGTGACTTTGGGCCAGTCACCCTCTCTCAGCCCAACTCACCTCACAGGATTGTTGTTGTGTGGAAAACAGGAAGTGGGAATATTAGGTATGTACATCAACTTCTGTTGACCAAAATTAAGGGTGGGATAAAAAATAAATACCTTTCATTCTTCCATGTCTTCCAGCTCAGACAAACAGTAACAACAGCACTAGCTTTGAAGGAATCATGAACTCATACACAACCTTGCAACCAGCCTCACAACAAATGTTGGTTATCGATCATAGTGTCTACAACTCAGACTCCTTCCAGCAAGGACTTACTCCCCCACAGATGCCAGGGGACCACATGCACCCTTATGGTAAGATGTGAAAAAGCTCAGATTGCAGATCCTAAGTCTGTCACCTATACCCTATTCTGTGGAAGCACTTGCAATACATCAGATGAACTAAGGGAAACTCTTTAACAGTTCCAAGCTGGGATGTTGTGAAGTATTCCTAGCACTCCTAGGAATTTAACCTTAAATTGTTCAAAATTCAGTCTCCCCAAGGTTAACAATTGTAGTAAGTCCTTTATGACTATATTTATGCTGAGTCTGGGCAGCCAAGTTTAAAGTGAGGAGCCACTGATAAAGACTGTCTCAATTTGAGCTTAATTCCTGATGGCTACGTGGACTGTCCACATTGTTTTCTTGGCAACAATATTTAAGTGATTTGCCCCTGTGTTTTTCCACAACATTTTTTAGCTTCCTAGGTTACCTTATAGGAATTTCCAGATGATCTCTAAGTACTAACGAGGACCTAGTTTGCGTAGGTGTTTGGGTTTTATTTTGTTTTGTTTTGAGATTGGCCAAGGGCAGCTAGGCATTGCTACTTGTGACTATTTGTCTATTACAATCATTTATATTGTACCTTTCAGGATATAAATCTTACTAAGGTGGCTTGAAGTAATACAATAGTAATAAATTAAAACAATATTTTAAAAAACAAAAATAATAATTGGTACCCTCCTTTTTCTGGGAACCTTTGCATAGAGTGTAATGACTTTCTATTTTATGGACTAACATTGTGTGTATGTTTATCCCTTTGGAACTAATGAGTCATTTGATTTAAATTCTGATGGCAGAATTAGAGGGAAATTCTCATGTGCAAACCTCATTCAGATAAATGGGAATGATACCAGAGTACATTTTGACTCATTTCTGTGGCTCCAAATATGACCCATCTCTTTCAAAGGATGGTGCCACAACTAAGCATATTTTTTTGTCTCTTATTATGTAGGTTCTGAGCCCATTTTCTTTGAAATGGATAGTGATGATACCTCCTTCAGCAACCAGGGCAACTGTTTCTTAGCAGCTACGGAACCTGGGTCCTTACAATCAAGAGTGGGCAATCCCATTGACAACCTGTACTCAATGCATAGCTCCTATTTCACATCATGAGGAATTTGAGGTCATGAATAAAACAGAGTGCTGGGTTCATTGCAGAAGTCAGATGGAGGAAAAAATGGGAAGAAGACTACTGTTTAATCAGGAAGGCACAGCATGCAAAAATCTCATGAATATTTCATATATTTGAAATTTTTAAAATTCAGTTCCCATTTCCCAAAGTTCAGGAAAAACCAGGAATATTTGAAAGAACAGTTTCAGAACTGCTTTCCATTTGCAAGTAAATTTATAGAAGAAAGGAATGCATGGAAGAAAACAAAATATTTTCTTCTGATGTTAAGATGTATCTAATGTAAGTTGCAAAAAACAAAATTTTCTATTGAGACTGTATCTGCAAGATATTTTCCCTATATTTAGTGTTTTAATTGAAACTATCAATTTTGATAAGGTGAAAAATTCTCCTCCAAATACTTATACTTTTCAATATGCATCATTTTGCAATACTTTGTCTTAGCTGTTGAAGCCAAATGAAAAGAAGAACGATGTATACAAATAAGTAAATCCTTTTGCAAGAAATGACATTCTAATAAAAATGAAATAAATGGGAGATACTGTTAAAAATGTGTTCAAAACAACACTCACTGGTTGTTCATGCAGATATAGAGATTGAAAACTGGAAGCTTTTGAACTTAATATGTGGAATAGTTACCAGGAAGTAAAAATATTTGTGTGACTAAGTTTTTTAATACATAAATTTTGAGGCAAGCATGTGTGCTTATATATTTAAGGCACAGACTTGCCTAATATTGCATCAAGTTTATCCTTAACAATAGAATAGTACTGTACAACAAAAATAACTTTATTTTCTGTGTGAATCAAATTTAAGGATTGCTCAATGCACTTAATTTATGGAATGGGAAAAATGGATTTTTGTGAAGATTGAGCAAGCAGAGAGGACTAGCATTCTCATCTGGAGACAATTTGATGCTTTCAGTTTCTTAAAATTTATTTTTAAGTGGAAATATCAGGGTAACCATAAGTTCTTATGCATAAAACTGAACATTAAAATCAAGAAGAGCATTGCCATTTTCTATAATGGAATTTGAACCTCCCTTCTGTGAGAAAGCACTGCAGGGAAGTGAGTCAGGGCTTATGATGAACCATCAGCAGTAGAGAAATTGTCTTCTGTTTAAAGCTGCAGACTCCAGAACATGCATATTGTGGGAATTTCATGGTCCATGGAGAACTTAAGAATTTTACTATTATCATTGATAAAGGGCTACATCTGACTTCAAATGGCTATCTTCCATTACTATTGGTAATTATCCAATAAAAGGAGGAAAAGTGGAATTGAAAAAGCCAATTAGCAACTGAGGATTGACAAAAGAATTGTATGTGTATATCCAATCCCAAACCTTCTTGCAGAGTTCAGAATCCAGCTGAATTTGTTAGGCAATGAAACTAATTCATTTGTCTTCAGAATAATGGAGTGTGCCACTGTAATTGAGAAATTTACTATTTATTTCACCTGAATGGTCAAAACATACTCTTCTTTAAAACTGCGGGGCTGCTGTCTCTCATCTACCACCATAGTTATATTGTAAAAAGACTGGAGAGGCAAGGATCCAAGCAGATTCAGGTTCTGTTATCTTTCTGGAGCCTAAAAGATAGTACATTTCAATCTACCATCATTGGAAGCTATATTAATTAATACACATTTTTTATACATTATTCACCAACACCTGGCAAATATTATTTGCCACTTTCTTTACTGTCCAAATGTGTCTAAAAACTTAACAAAAGCATCAATTCTTGAAGATCTTTATACTGTTATGCCCTTATTCATGTTATTTATGGATTACTGGTCTATCAGCAAGGGCACTAATATCACAGTGCTGATTACAACTTTCAAACTGATGATAGCGAAAATGACAATGCTGGAGATATTCAAATATATCAATAGGAAGATGATACTCCTCCCCAATTATCAGTGAATTGTGCAGGAGGGCAAGGGTTGTGACAGAAGAATAGACGGGCAGCATTTTTCGGAAAAAAAATTGAACAAGCATAGGTGCAAATGATTGCTTGGGAGGATTTTTAAATCTAAACAGAGATTCCTTCTCTTTTCTTTCCTCCCTTATTCAGTTTGCTTTACTTCTTATCACCAGTTTTGTTTCTTATTTCTTACCATACCTTCCCTGTATATCTGCCCTTCTTCCTCTCTGCATTCTAGGGAAGGAAATGCTTCTGCGTATGACTGGTCTGTTCATTATATACAGATGGGGGAACAATTCATTGTACAATTGGCTTACCTTATTTCTGTACCTAATATTATCAGTGCATCTTTTTGTCATGCCCATTTTTGGAGAGTAATGTCTGACAGGTGTATACAGATATACATAAATGCACATAATATCGTGTGTCATATACACACATTTATTGAGGAGGAGGAGAAATCTCCAGAATTGGTTTTAGGGGTTAAATCCTTAGCTGAAAAATAAAAGAAGCTGGGTATTACAAAGGATTTTTGTCTGTATTTACATGTTCTTTACCTTGATTGGGGGAACTAATCATCATAAATTCAAATTTGTCTTCTTTTGGAGTAAAAACAGTGCACAAACTGGAGTGATAGAGACTTTTATGTGATAAATGTAACATATGGAACCCAGTATGTATGTCCAGCCCTATTTTCCAGTCATGACATATGATTTCGAAGTGTTTTGGGTTGAAATCCTATGAGCCTGTGTATGTAGAACAGTGTATAAGCCACCTCATTAAGGGATGGCTTAGCCTTTCCTTTGCCTTCCTTGAGTCACCATGCTCCAGTGTTTCTGTAAGCTTGTATTCTTCCAGGTGAGGCCTTCCCTACTTGCCATGAGTATCCAGCATTCCCAAACTGGTACTAGCAAACATCATCCTCACCACTGACCTTATTGGAAGAATGATTTGGTGGTTGCTTTCAAGGGTGGCATCTTGACGTGTATGGACTGGGCACTGCTACATGCCCAGCAGCAAGAGAGTGGATCTATTTGAATATAAGGAGCTGCATTAGCCTGTATGAACCAGCCCTGCTCACTTTTGTATTATAACTAGGATTACACCTTTGACTAGAGTGGAGTAGGGAAGGGAATTGCTTGCGAAAAAATAGAGCACTCTCTCTTTGTTGGTTATAATAATTTCTTGAAACATATTGAATCAGTCTACAAATACTTGCTTTGAATAGTAATAATAATATAATAATAATAATCCCTTTACTCATAAACTAAGTAAAGAAAAAGTGTTGAATGGAAAATAGCTGTAATGCTGTAGGTTGGGCCATGCTAAAGATTATACATTGAATGTAACAGAATGTGACAACTTGTTGAACTGCCACATCAATGGAAATCAGATTAAGAAATTAAACAGTACAAAAAGTCAATCTGTGAAATGATTGATCTATTGTGAGAGTTGAAGTGGAGATGTGTAATAGTGGCAAAGCTCGTGAAATCCCCAATTCGCATCTCACATCAGCTATGAATTCTCTAGTTTATTATTCTTCTAATCAAAAGCCTAGAGTCTCTGGAATGAGATGGCTTATAAATCTAATAAATAACAAGTGGAGGTACAATATAAGAGAGAGGCTGATAAGAACTGTGCACTACACTCAGGGGATGGCTTTCATATTCTTGACAACCCCCATCCTGGTAACTGATGAGGTGGAAGTTAGATTTCTCACCATTTCCCCCTTTTTATCTAAACATTTTTGCAGAAAGAATGGCAAGAGATTCAAGTGAGTTTATATTTGGAGACAGTCAGGTGGAGCTCATTACCTTGAGGGAGCAGCCTGATTATCCAAACTCCTTGTTCTAGATCCAAGTGTGCGGTGTCAGAAGTATGGCTGGGGAGGAGACAGTAATGCCCTTTGGGCTGTCCAATATTTAGTCAAATTCCAAGATGGGCAGTGTGGAATAACAAGCAAAAAGAATTGCCCCATGCTTTTCAATGAACTGCTGGGAATTTGCTCCAGTACAAATTTTAATGATTTTCCCATACCAAATAGATATTTTTATTAGCAAAGGTAAGGCCATTCCCCTCAAATGAAAACGGGGACACAGTTAGATCCCCTCCCTCATTCTAGCTTATTTTCATTTATGGGTTTTCTTTAATTAACTTGCTCCATCTTACATGCTAGTTTCATAAAACTTACTGTAAAATCTAATTTTCTAAAAATCTAAAACTCAAGTAGTTGCAGAGAAATCCTGTAACAGACACTACTGAAACTAATCTTCCTTCAGATTATCATATACTTGGCTATTCCAAATTGTTTCTAATCAGAGTTTAAATTGTGGAACCCATTGGAAAGCAAGTAATTTGAGAAAAGCTCAGTATCACCAGAGTGCATAACCAACCTAATCCAATCATGAAGCCCATTCCAAAGCCTCAGAGCCCATTCTGGTCCAGATGGCCACAGAGCTAAATCAGTATGATTTAGCATCCAGATGCAGAGCAACATTTGGAAAAACAGTCCTCCATTTCCCAATAGCCTAGCATGAGAAAAAATGCTAGTATCTATATGTTGTTGTTTTATTTTCTATGCCTTTATAATATAACAAGCCAAATTTCTATGAATGCAGGGTTTTTAAGATACCCTTATTTTAAATCTGTTTTTAAAATGTCTGTAATTCCTTTGCTTTGGGATAAATTTGACAACCTTTGCACTGATAGTAGCCTTTATGTATGGCACTTCTTATACCAAGTTTCCAGTAAATAGGGCAGGCAGAGTTTATGTGTATAGAATAAGCATTTGTAATGTGATGGTTGTCACTCTTGAATACAGTGGAGGCTACTGTTGCCAGCTGAGGATAACAATTCTTTGTTAGTCCTTTTGATAAATGTCAGCTAGCAATAATTACTAACAAGACACTGATCCATAACCATTCAGGAGGAGAAACTGCATGTGACCAAGTGAACAATAGGCAAGAATCTCTTTCAAGCCCAGCAACTTCCACCACCCAAGATGCCATGATGGGGGATTAACAGTGGTCTGTCATAAGGAGGATTTTCACCACTGATCC